GACACTTTTACCAGAACCCAGACTTTACCCAACACAGAAAAGGTGAGTCAATCTACGTTTGTGCACATTTACTCTTGAAAGAGATTTTTATGTCGACTTCGTTGAGGTTCAGCCAACATTCTTTAAATATTCAAAAACAGAGAAGTATTCCCTCCTTAGGACTTATCATGTAGTTTGGCCCTTTTCAATAAGAATAAAGCCTATAGGTTTTGAAATGCACAAAACCCTGAATTCTGGCTTGGTTTACTATTGCTCTGGATTTATTTCTTTTTAATTCATTGTGTACAAAAAAAAACTTGATTTTGTGTATCACTGACCATTTGTGCCATTTGAAATATTTCTATTGGAATAATTACTATTGATAACGTACTATTTGCAACAAAAAAAAGAAAGCAGAAAAGTTATGGTAGCAAATGCATTCTGATGTTCTTACGGTGGTTATGGTTATTTGTTTTTTAAGCATCTTTTTAGACATTATACATACAGTATTTTCGAGTTAATGAATCCTATGTATGCTTATACTCTGATACTTCAAATATGTATTCGTTTGACTAGAGAGAAAAAGAGAATGTATTTCAAATGTCGGGCTATCTCTGGGGAACGTGAGAACCAGTTTACTGAAATGATTGACTGAAAATAACACTGGAATCAAGATTTTAAACCCTTTTCTGTGTAGCAATAACTTCAAATGACCACAAGGCAATTTATTTGGATTCAATTGGTAGCTATTGTGGTAAATCGTTGTCTTTTCTATGTTTTTTTTATTTTTATTTCATGGTCCTCCATCTATTGACAACAATCGTGATGTCGAAGTCGCTGACCTTGGTGCTGAACCTGAGTTTTGAGTGTGTTTCCTGCAAAATTCACCACATATGCACCGTATGTGGCTTCCATAAATCATTTCTTCGTTTGCAAACATAGACTGTGTCACTTTTGATATCTTAATCTGTGTTTGGGGAATCTTAAAAAAAAAAAAAAACTCTTTTTTTTCTCATATAAATTTGAAATTATGCGAGTGTGATCAAACCTTTTCCATGATAATGATTGGTACTTTGGATTAGATATTGTGGGTTTTTGTTGTTGTTGTTGATTAAGTCCAGCACCCTGATATATTAAAAAATACTGAAAATTATTTTTCCTTGAAGGACAACAGCTCATAGAGCGTTGTAAAAGCAGAGTTTACACTAGTCAGCACAGCCCGTCATATGATCGTTATTTTTAATGAGCGCAAACCGGGTTAAGGCTGTGAGGATTATTAATTATTTGTGTAGGCGCTTCTGGACGACTGGTTTAGAGTTGATGGCAGCGTCTGCAGTTTCTCCAGGCCACCACGCAGAGACGCTATAGACCGTGACACTGAAATGACGACGCTCCTCCCAAAGTATCAACGGATAGGATATGATTTTCTTCACAAAGAGACGAGGGAGGAGACGCAATGGTAGTATGGCGTGCACTTCTTTTAGAATAATAATATCGTCCTGAGTTTTCTCATATCTCATCACCACATGGCAAAAGGAAAATAGTGGATTTACACTTCGACCTTTTTTAACGGAATTATGTCTTCTCCGAACTGCTGGAGGTCTGCTTTCGCATATTTTGTGCTCGTGCTGTTGGATTGTTACTGGGAAACGGCGTCGGCTCAACTCTCTTATTCTGTGTCAGAGGAGGTAAAGCCAGGGACTAATGTTGGAAATATTGCAAAGGATCTAAATCTTAATGTTCAGGAATTGGAGTCTCGTTTGTTTCAGATTGTTGCTGGTAAAAACAAATATTTCGAGGTAAATCTTAGAACCGGATTTTTATATGTCAATGAGAGGTTAGACCGTGAGGAGCTTTGTGCCGATGAACCTAAATGTACTGTTAGCGTGGAGGCTGTGATAAACAACCCTTTGAAGCTTTACCGTGTTGAGGTTGAAATTAAAGACGTAAATGACCATTGCCCTTCTTTTAATACAAAATCTCAAATTCTAGACATAGCCGAAAACACCTTACCCGGATTTAAATTTTCTTTATCCGAGGCAAGTGATGCCGATGTGGGTAAAAATGCTGTTAGTGCCTATAAGCTTAGTCCAAATGAATATTTCAGTCTTGTCATACAAAAAAGAGGGGATAGTATATCGCCTGAGTTAGTCCTGCAAAAATTCCTCGATCGTGAGAAACAACCGAACATGCAACTCTTGTTAACGGCAGTAGATGGTGGAACTCCGCCTAATACAGGAACATCAGAAATTGAAATCAATGTATTAGATATCAATGACAACGCACCAATGTTCAGCAGTAGTCTTTACAAGATTAAAATCTTGGAAAATGTACCGGTTGGAACGAAGATTTTCACCTTAAATGCCACAGATGCAGATGAAGGAACAAACAGTGAAATATTATACTCTCTTCGAAGTAAAGACCAGGATCACATTTTAGATGTATTCCACATTGATCCTGAAACTGGGGTCATTTCAGTCAAAGGAAAAATTGACTATGAGGAGAGAAAAGCTTTTGAGATCAGAGCAGAGGCCAAAGACAAAGGCCAGCCCCCCATGTCTGCACATAGCAAAGTGCTGGTGGAAGTTGTTGATGTAAATGACAATGCTCCTGAAATCACTGTGACCAAACTTCTAAATACCGTAAATGAAAATGCTGCTGTCGGAACAGCTATTGCCCTGGTCTCTGTTTTAGATAAAGACAGTGGTAAAAATGGTGAGGTGAAATGTGAAATCTTAAATACGGTCCCATTTAAACTGGAGACAAATTACAGAAACTATTACTCTTTAGTTGCCCATGGGCATTTAGACAGAGAAGTAACTGCCCAGTATAATGTAACAATATTAGCCACGGATGAAGGTAGCCCCTCTCTATCAAATACCAGTATTATTACTGTTCACCTCTCAGATGTAAATGACAATGCACCGTTTTTCGCAGAACCCCTCATAAACATTTATGTAAAGGAAAACAGCAAAGTTGGAACAGTTATTAAATCAGTGACAGCTACTGATGACGACATAAGCAACAACGGTCAGGTGAGCTATTCATTTTTAGGTACAAACAGTAAATCGCTGGCCCTTCCCACAATGGTAAACATCAACTCAGAGACTGGAGACATAGTCAGCCTGCAGTCG